GGTGAAACTACTTTTTTGTTGATTTCAACCATCATTTCATTCAAATCCATCTACCTGTTTTTTTTATCCAGAAGTACTTGTTCATCAAAAACACACAAGCATACACCAGATTCACGGTTCAAACTCAAGCGTTAATACAGACATCTGCCAGTCAACACATCAGTCAAGCTCTCATTATACAGTGAACAAGCTTAATGAAGCAGACCACTAGATTACCAACAAATAAAGTAATTAAGACAAATAAATTCAGCAGAAAATACAGCTTAATTAACACGGGAGACATTTTCATAGCAATGAAAAGCAGTGCGTGATCTCAAGAGATTTAGGACATTGAATTATTATCCTATGCATTATTAAACAAACCTAAAATTATAAAAAGAGATTAATTTCAAATCACTGTGTTCCTGGGGGTAGCAAAAGGGCAGCTGAATCCTATAATAAATGTCAAAATTGTTAATGGGTAATTGTTATTTTCAGTAACAAACAAATAAATAGAAAATTCTATATTATAAAATGGAGAGTTCCGGTCCTTGATTCTGATTGGCTGAGCCACGTTCGAAGCTGTTGTAAATTACTCTACAAACATACACCTTTGTTTACTTCTGTGTGTTGCTCGGCAACCACTTTGTTGCAACCACAACTGTTTCTGAGGAACTACATTGTTTGGTGGAAGAATACTGTTTTTATTAATATCATTACACTTTATTTGCTCTGTTTTATTTTGTGAAACCTTACTACGTATATGGAATAACCGTTTTATAAAAGCAATAAGCCCCATGAAGCCGTGGTTTACAGTGAATTTATAACAGGTAAGGGGGTTTTAGTCACTCCGCTTCACGTCGTACCTAACAACGCCCCTTAGCTGTTATAAATTCACTGTAAACCACGGCTTCTTGGGGCTTATTGCTTTATTTGAATGCTTTTGTGTTTCCCTGAGAAAGTAGGTTCACTCGTAAAAACACTGAAATAGAATTTTTCCTGTCACCTAATATTATCTTCCAAAACAAAAGCAATGTAAGCAAGCAAATGAAAGTTTCTTGGGGGGGGGGGTCTGAGATTCATTACCATATGCACATATGCTCGAAATGCTGGCCCAATTTATCTCATTAGAATTCCAGTGCAAATATTCCTGTCCAAACTGACCTTTGATTCAAATCTGGAAAACAAATGGAGCCCGTACATCAGAGCTCAAGAGAATGTTTTATTCTGGTAATCGCAGGCATGTGCACATCTATAATACAGACACTGCTCAATGTCAGCGAGGACATCAACCATGGGCGTCTGAAGCTAATATTTCAGCCAAATCTCAACGTCACTTTAGCATTTGCTGTTGACTTCTGGTGAACAAGGCAAATCCTGTTTCTCTAAACAGATCAGATATCATCCTTATTCAAAAGGATGTGTGACACAGAAATTTCAGCAACCAAAAATATTCGGCAGAAAGTGAATTTTTGGTTTTGGAGGGCCAAAATCATTGACTGAAACGGTAATATTTAATTAGTGTTTCTTCAATGGTGCAATGATTGTGTCAGTGTCTATTTTGTGCACACAACATGGATAAACTATAAAAGCTAAACATCAGCTGTGTGGATGCTATGCTGGGCTAACAATATTGATTTCTTGTTTTTAATTAATCTTCATTTAGATGAACCGGTATCTATACTTAAAGGGGTCATCGGATACAACATGCACTTTTACAAGTCGTTTGAACTGAAATGTGTGTTGGCAGTGTGTACACAACCACCCTATAATGATAAAGATCCACCCAGTGTTTTTGTTTTTTTTATCTCGTTAAATCATTTCCCCTTTCTCATATCAAGCCATTCTCAGATGCCTGTCTGTGTGACGTCACACTGACCCAGGCCCCTCCTACGATTGTTGATTGACACTAGCGTTTTACCTTAGACCCGCCCTGAGTGAGCTGTCATCAGTCCGCCATTGTTTCACCGCCGGAGCAGATGTAGACAAGAATGTCTCCTAAGCGATTGAGGTGTTTTGTTGTTGGATGTAATAATGAACATAGCAGTCATCATTTACTCCTGACATCTGAGCCGCTGAAGACCCCTTTGTTTTTGAAGGGAATGCATCCTCCGATCTACCTAAATGCGTTTATGTTCGCGCAAATCATTCGTGATCCAGCCTCACCTACAGAAGAAGTGAGTATAAGGTTCTTTTATGAATCTTTGCAAATCGCCTTTCCTAATAATGTGCTAGTTAGCAAGTTCCGCTTGCTAAAGTAAACGGTCTCATGAGAACGGCTCGTCACCCCACGACACTACCATTGAGAAATTAACCAAAGTATGTTATAGACTTTTCATTAAGACCCTAAAGAATCATACCAACTTGTGGAAAATGGGCATCCGATAACTCCTTTAAGATCAACCTTGTTGTTTTCAGTAGATGTGTGAACAAAACTTCACAAAACATTATTTGTAGCGCTCCTGCCATCCAATAATTGCAATAAGCTTAATGTAGTTTTAACATGCTTTAATGTGCCATAACAGATCGCTCCGTTCAAGTGACAGCGCAGAGCACACAATAACTGATTCATGTCTTCCTCTTTACTACTAGTCATAGAATGAAACAAACATAAATGAACATTAGAAAGTAGCTATGTAGAAAGATACAGTACAACTTTCTGAAGTGTATTGTTTTATGTAATCACTCAATCAGTGCTTCAACTGTGGAAAGACACCAATAAAATGTTACATGTTATGTTTGAATAAATTTGTCATGAAAACAACGAATTGGAGTAGAAACAATTATATCACTAAGAAGTTAATATTAAAATTGCCTTATGTGCAATTTAAATTTTTGAAATTTAAACTCAGTTTCTTGAGTGTTGATTATTAAATAAATGTGATTAATTGATTGTTAAATAAACTTTTTTTTCCAGTTTCGGCCAAATGAAAACTTCACTACTGCTCTAAACATGAAATTCACAAATAACTGCAGCATTCAATAATTATCTTTAACACACAAGTCCCTTTGATACAGAGATGCTTGGTAGTACTAGGCTTGCTGTGATAGTCGGTGTTGACGGTGATACCGGTGTGAAGTTTTATGTCACTTGCCCACCACGGCATCATCCCCCACCGTCATTTAGATTATTTATAGTAATAAAAATCATTTAGTTCAGTTAGAGAACAGACACTACAATTAAAAACTGAACGCGGCTGCTCAATGCAGCGTGCCAAACGACAGTCACATCACAGATCAGATTTCATTTATCACAAGAGGAGAGCAAGTCGAGCTGACTGACAAGAAGGGTGAGGTGAGACAGACAAGATGATAGCGGATGATTTAGTTTCGAAACCAGTATTTTGGATTTTGAAAAGCCAATCACCACAATTAAAAGAACCAAAGACTTAAAACTACTTCAGTCTGTGTGCATTGAATTTATTTATTACACGAGTTTCACAATTTGAGTTGAATTACTGAAATAAATGAACTTTTCCACGACATTCTAATTTATTGAGATGCACCTGTATTTTATTGGTTCCACAGTGTTTGCTGATTGTTAGTTTATTTAAACTTTGTGTAATGCATTTATTTTATTTGACATTAAGGTGTATGCCGTGCCTCCAAGATTTCATATTAGTTTTGCTAATAAACGTTCTGTGTTTCTTATTTATTTGGTTCCACAGTGTTTACTTATTTTCAGTTTTGTATACCTATTTAAACTTTGTGCAAGTTATTTGTCATTTTATATTAGGCATAGCCTATAGCATGGTGTATTTTTATTCGTTTTGTTAAAAGTTCTATGATTTATATATAGGTTAAGTGAGTTTGACTTTGTATTTTGTTGTTGCTTGAATTGCATTCAAGCAAAAATGTGCATGATGCTTTTAAGCTATTTAAAAGCGAGGGAAAGCGAGGGAAAGAGGGAAAACTCGCCGAATTGCCGCTAATTTAAAAGTGAAAGTAAAATGCGAACACCACTTTTACAAGCCATTTAAAAGCGAAGGAAAGTGAGGAAAAAAGGGAAAATCCCCCACCCCACAGTGATACCGATATTATCGGTGTTGTCACACGTCGATTAACCAGTGGGAAAATTTCGTAACAGTCACAACCCTAGGTGGTACTACTGATTCTGGTATTGTTACATTTGTTTAATATAATATTACTATCGGTACTAGAGTTCTGGCAAATTTTGACAATCTCAAATAACCCTAGTAGCTACAATCTAGAAAGAGATTCTTGTAAATCATCCCATATACAGTACATGGGGGGTCATGTGTAGGATATGATGTTGACTGTACCGAGATATTATAGTAAGGCTTATATTAAACCTTCATCACTCATGTCTTAAACACAGCGTCACTGCATTCTCTTTTGATCTCGGGGACCAGCACACAGCAGAACTGCCCTGAAGCGCAATAGTACGGCCCCTGAGAATCACACGCACACAAGTCTGTGCTAAAAAGGCCTGAGGGAGTGTGAAGGGCAGAACGGAGGCAATTTGAGTCACCTTCCTTCAAGAGTAAGATTATCCAGCCCACAGCCTCAGCCTTCAAGGACTTCTGCAAGTTTACCACGTCCTCTAAACTACGTGCAAAACGGTGTAGTAATGGACTGTAAAATGTAATTGACTAACTAGTTAAGAATACTACACTAAAGAGCATATAATTAAAACCAGAATTTTACACAAATTTGTCTAAATAGAGATTTGCTTTTTCACTGACTGCCCATACATGAAGCTACAATAATATTCCTTAATGTTCTTGAAAAATTAAACCAATAACATAATACATTAATATGCAGCGCTTTCTGTATGAACTATTTTAATTAACCTCTTTAATTTTACAATTTTTATATATTTAAACAGACTAAACGAAACTTAACGGAAATTCTAAATTCCACCTATTAAAAAATGTTTCTCAAGATTTCTGCAGTCAATTATATTCCTTACCTATTTTTCAATGCAAGAACAAATCTCATTTAAATCAGACGTGTTTAATAAAGGTCAGCAAACAACTTCAGCTCATGTTCAAGCTCACCAACATCCATGGCAGTCTCCATGAAACTCTTCTGCCTCGAGGCAAACTCCGCCAGCAGTTTCTGCTGTCTCTCTCTGGCCCTTTGACGCCTGCAGATGTCAAAACAGAAATTATTTGCATCATTATTAGCTGTTAATTATGAAATGTCCATTTTCAAAGGCTATGAATGATGGGTTAGAATCAAATGGTTTTGAAATGTTGACATGTGATGATAACCTGACTACATTCGATGACTGTTTGAAGGATGGATTTGGATGGATTTTGAAAATGAGCATATATTCGCTCTCAGTCAATCATTAAGTCCAATGAAAATGCTCATTAGTTAGGGATGGACCAATTGAAATTCTGGTTGGTATATAGTAATTTCCATTTCTTGTCATCTCACGATTGCAAATGTGATATTGATTTTATAAAAGAGTTCATAAACAAACCCAATCCATTAATCTCATAGCATTATTTATGCAATTTTAACTTGCTGTGTAAATGCATATATGCCACCTCTGAACAGTCTTTGTAAATATACCTAAATGCAACTTCAGATGCAGCTTCTGAAAACAATGTTACAGCCATAAAAATTCTATGTTGAATCAAAACATTTCTTTCTAAAGCTACTTTTTGTTATGACTATTCAAAACTTATTTATCATATGACTTTTTGGTGGTTTTCAGCCCAAATTGTTGTGTGATTAATCATCAATTAATTGGATTAAGGTCAGCACATCATGTAATTAATTAGATTGAAAACTGTAATCATCTGACAGCCCTAATAAATAAACAAATACGTATTATAAAGCTGGTGGTCAAAAACATACTTCCATAAGCCGTTTAATTAAGAACAAAGGGTAAGAATAATTGGGGATGTCCCGATCAGGTTTTTTTGTGCCCCCTATCCAGTCCAAGTCATTGAACACTGAGTATCTGCCGATTCCGAGTCCCAATCCGACAGTTATATATTCCTAGCATGGGCGTAGCTTGAAGTGGGGTAGGGGGGCATGGCCCTCCTAGCGACTTTACTAAATATTTTACAAAGAATAATAAGAAATATAAATATTTTTGTCTAAGAAGAAAATATGCAATATAATGTAGTTAATACATTTAAATTGTTATTGTAAGTGAATTCAATCAAATCAAACTTAATGTCTCCCTCAATCTCATTTGTGACCCTGGACCACAAAACCAGTCATAAGGGTCAATTTTTCGAAATTGAGATTTATACATCATCTGAAAGCTGAATAAATAAGCTTTCCATTGATGTTGGCTATTGCTACAAATATACCCCAGCGACTTAAGACTGCTTTTGTGCTCCTGGGTCACATTTGCGTAACAAGTTGTACCGTGACGAAGCTGCATTTTGGCAGAAAGTCGCTAAATTGCTTGTATTTTCAGTGTATTTCTTCTAGCCTCGCATATTCTTATATTAAAAAAAAATAAAAAATCCCTTTATTTGTGACAAAGGATTAGGCTTTTTTTTTTTTTACAACATACATGAACCGCAGAAAAATCTGGAAACAATGAAAAAAGTCAGATGAAGATTCCGATGCCGTGTTTGATGACTCTGGACCCGGACAATCAGATTAAATAACATTTTCACCCCTACAGAAAACCATTTGTTCAGTGAAGAAAAGCCTGTACAATTCTTTACCTCAGAAAATGTGCACCAATGCTCATATTGTTTGTCTGTCTGTTTGTCCCTCATGACGTGTGTGAATATCTGGAAACCCTAATAATCAGTTTAATACCACAAATTCTGCCCACTGACAGCATACAACAAAGCCTTATAAATACCTGCCAACCTTGATTAGATGAGAGCACTGTGTCATTGTCAGTCTCTCTCCTTTGTTATTTGGATGGGAGGAACAGACACTTTATAGAGGGGCATAAACTAATACAGACAGGAATGACACGCTTCAAGAGTTTCCAGCTGACAATGTCAGGGACAAACAAATGAGCAAAGTCCTCCAATACTGCTCTATGGTAACCTAGTCCAGACAACGCGCATGCTATAGTTGGTTTGCAGGCAACAACTTTCCCATAATCAGATGCATAAACAACATGTTTAATTAATTATAATGCTTTGAGTAAGGGTGAAAAAAATATATAAACCATACATCAATGGAAAGCTTATCTATTCAGCTTTCAGATGATGTATAAATCTCAATTTCGAAAAATTGACTCTTATGACTGATTTTGTGGTCCAGGGTCACATTTGATATTTTTGAGTGGAAATGAAACGGGGAGTGCACACACCTCTCTTCCTTGTCCATGCTCTTCTTATCTCCAGGACTGTTCTTCTTGGGCGGTATGGGTGGGCACACTTTCCCACAGATTTCCTGGAGGCACCTCTTGCTGTGCCGGCTACGGGCGGCAGCTTTGGCCAGGATCCGTTCGATGGCTGTTAACCCATCTCCGTGCGTGTGATGGGCCGGATCCACCTCAGCCAGCCAGCTCAGAGACAGAGAGTTCTGCTTGGCAGACAGTTTCTGATGCAGCTTGACCAGGAGAGACAGCATGCTCTCACGGATCTCCAGGATCTCGGTCACCAGCTGCGGAGGCGAGCCGGGCGGCAGCCAGCGAGAGGATGAGGACTTGGGCCGCACCGTCTGACTGGCCTCGTGGTTACTGCGGTTTATGATCTCCTGGAACTTCCTTCTGCGCTCCGCCACGAGACTAAACACCTGAGCCTCGCGCAGGTTCTGAGGAGAAACCACAGACAGAATGAAAACCAGACATACAGCTGCAAGTGACAGCACACCAACAGCACACTCACTGTTACACAGAGGAGATTTGTTTGGTCATAGTCACTCACAGCAAGAAATTCACATGCTATTATTAAAGCAAAAACCCACTGGAGGGTGAGTCCGGCTGTTAAATCACTTTAATGCACGGTCTTAGCAAGGGCCTAGCGCTTTTATAAAATGTGTTAAGCGCAACATGATAAAAAATATTAAATAAAGAGTTTATTAATTATTAGTAGTAGTAAAATGTACTAAATAATATAAAAAATCAGAATGTGCAGTAAAAGTAATATGCAGATGTGCAGGCTGTCAGTCAGTCAGACAGATACACACAGAGAGATTGATAGACAGATGACAGACAGACAGACTGATATATGAATGAATGACAGATAGATGAGTGCAGCGGCAGATAGACTGAAACATGGATGACAGACAGATGGATGAATGACAGATTGATAGATAGATGACAGACAGATAGACATATTAGATGGATGGATGGATGAATGACAGACAGTTGATTGACAGACAGACAGACAGATTCTGGGTTGCTTAGTTCTGGGTTACTAGGGTGTTTCGTTCATCTTCGGAACACAAATTAAGATATTTTTGATTAAATATGAGGGCTCTCTGACCCTCCCATAGACAGCAAGGTAACTACCACGTTCAAGGTCCAAAAAAAGTACCAAGATGATCGACAAAGTAGTCAGTGTGACATCAGTGGTTCAACTGTAAAGTCACGAAGCTACGAGAATACTTTTTTTGCGCAAAGAAAACAAAAATAACGACTTTATTCCACATTTTTGTCTCTACTGCGTCACTTTGGACGTGCGTTCACAACAGTATCATGACGCGAGTGTGTGGCGGCTCCGGCGCTGACCCAGATCTGACGTCATCACGGCAGATCTGGGTCAGCGCCGTTATTTTTGTTTTCGGACACACGGACTACTTTGTCGATCATCTTGGTACTTTTTTTGGACCTTGAACGTGGTAGTTACCCTTGCCGTCTATGGGAGGGTCAGAGAGCCCTCATATTTAATCAAAAATATCTTAAATTGTGTTCCGAAGATGAACGAAGGTCTTACGGATTTGGAACAACACGAGGGTGAGTAATTAATAACAGAATTTGCATTTTTGGGTGAACTAACCCTTTAAATGAGGCTCATCCAATCAGAATGTGGAGTTTTTGGATCTATTTTATAGTAAATTTAACATCATCTATACTGTATAACTCTTGACCAGAATTTTAACAATAAATCTGTGTAATATATAGCTAAAATGCTGTCAATATCCTCACAGCTTCAATTCCTGTTTGCCATCTTTAGGATATGGATTTTTGCTGTATTACTTTTAAGAAACTGCAGAGTTAGCACTTCTTAGTATCAAAAGATTTAAACTCGTAGGGGCTGTTCACACAGAAAAACACGAGACTCAGGCCAGAGGATGTTTACATCAAAAAACAATGGAAAAGCATCACATTTAAATGCAAAAACATGTTCTGTGTGTTCAGCCCCTTACAAAAGTCCCATTAGGAAAATCCATGTCCTGAAATGTGTATGCAGCTAAAACGAGGATTCGGCTTTCTGAACCAGTAAGCAGCCCCAGAGGAAGAGCACTTTGTGTCCCATAAGAAAGTTATTAGGCAAGTGACATTTGCTGCCCAACGAGGGAAACAGAAGGACAAATTCCATTTCAAACTCTAAGTGAAATACACAAAGGTGAAGCTCAAGGTTAGACCTGACATTGGTCATAAAAACAGACCTGCTTTACTCTAGTTTAAATGTATTCATTTCTGACTCACGATTGGCAGAGCATATTCTGGGATCAATATAATAAAGGATAATTCCTTTGCACATACGGAGTACTAACCCTTATGAAAGGTGTCAGGTGTCCACACTGTGTTTAATTAGCATGCTGATCTCACTGAAGTGGATGAATATTTAACGATGAGCAGTGAACCGCTGACCGCTGGGCTCAAGACTCATTATATACATCACTTGAAAGAACGCATGCAGTTAAAGAAAACTTCCTGTCATCACTCATCTCTAGCTAGAACATTCTGTGAACACGTCAGACAAACCAAGCAGGAGAAAACTGGCAGAGTTTACAATGCACAGACCACCCAAAAAAACAAAAAAAACCCACACACAATCACAGAAAACTAAAAGTACCACAAGGTACATTATGACCAGTGCTCCATTTCCTGTGCATTTATTTGTAATTGGGTCAACGGCATGATATTAATTTTGTGCGTCTGGATCTGTGTGCAATTTCTTGAATAAACCTCTTTAATGACGAACACATACATAAAATCTACACAAGACAAATGAAAATGAAAATTCAGCTTTGCCACCACAGGAATAAATTATATTTTAAAGTATATTAAAATAAAAATATGTTATTTTTAATTGTAATATTTCACAACAGTTTTTCCTGTATTTTTGATCAAATAAATGCAGCCTGGATGAGCATAAAATAATTATTTAAGAAGAAACAAAAACCTTTTAACTGTAGTGTTCCTAATTACTTGGAAAAACTTCTCTTTCTTTCTTTTTTTTCAAAAGTAGTGAAGCGGTCATGTTTCAAAATATTAATATGTTAAGCATTTGATCCTCACAACAACTGTAATATCCATTATTAAAATGTCATTATTTGTAAACAAAGTTAACTTAAAAAATGTTTAACAACATCATCCATCAGATGTTCACGGTCATGTATTAAAATTATTGTTACTCGTTTACATCACTTGACATTTTTTAATTAATATAAAGTTTTTTTTTTGTTTTTTTTTTGCAAACACTACATTACATTTCTAAAATCTTTGCCCATCAATTTTAAGCAATATATTTTCTTCCCGTTTTCAGAATCTCAGACAAGCTTATTTGTCACAGAACCACTTACTTGTGTCAGTATAATTATTGGAAATATTAATGACAAGAAACGAGCTGGTCTATGAATAACAAAACGAGTGCAGTCTTCCTAATTCAAACCATTCCAAACTTGGTTATCCAAAACGGAACTCTAGAAATCATTTCACACCACTTTAAAATCGTTCCCAAATCCTTCTACCTCTCTCCAATTTCCTGTCAGCCTTCTGGAACTCTGTGAAACGAGAGTGATGTCAAACACTAAACAGAGATGCGTGACCGTCAGAAGACTCTGCACACCTGAGAGTGTCCGGCTCACCTGTCCGAAGGTGCTGCTCTCAGAGCTGGTGCTGGCTGGAGTTTCTTGTTCTCTCTCCCTCTCTCTCTTCCTCTCCACCTCAGGTGCCGTCTCTGGCACTCGAACCCGCACAAAGTTGATGACGTGATGGAGGTTAGACAGCAGACTGGTGCCCGGGAACCAGCTGTCATGGCAGTGCTCCTCAATACAGGGCTCCTACGACAGAGCAGGAAAAAACATCTCAGCAAGACGGACAAAACAACAGCCTGGAATCCTTATCTAAAGCTTGTGCTTTCAGCTGCCACAAACAATCTAGTCAGAAGGTGTTCTGTTCTGGACGAACACTGATTTAATTAGTTAAGCGCTAATAGAGTAATTACAGTGTGCTGGCTGGAAGTTGAGTTGAGTGTGTTAGGACACTACTTTGTTTCCAGGGAAACTGAAACCAATGGCAAACACATTGGAACTTAAAGCTGCGTAATTTGGGAGGAAAAAAATCTAAAGCAATTTTTCTGATAAAAACCACTATAACGAATTAAAAAAAAATAATAATTCCAGGTTTGCTGTACTTGTTTGTAGGGCTGTATAATTTAGCCAGCTGTCGGCCGATTAATCGGCACCGATAGTCGACTGCTGGAACGTGCAAAAATTGCAAATCGGCAAAAATCCATGTCAGTGTGCGACTGCAATATTTAGCTATTTTGATTAGATAATCATCAGGTGCTCTAAAATAGAAGCAAATAAAGTCTAAGAAAATACAAACAATATCTATATGAAATATAACTTTAATGCTAAGGCCTTTGTATAGATTTTTCAATGATCAATATATAGGTAATATTTTTTTTATTATTATTTTTTTTTTACAAAGTATGGTTCAGTACTGTTTTTAAATAGTATAGCACTATTGAAGTTTTCATTCAGTATCTATCTTAAAACCTATTGGTTGATTAATCGGTATCGGCCAGTGTGGTCCAACCTAGCTATCATTATTCGTAAAATTTACGAATCAGTGGACCTCTAGTTTGAAATTATATATCAACATTGCTATAAAATAATAACATAAAGAGCTGCAGTCTGTATGTCAAAATGTCAAAAATTGTCAAAATTATTTATTTTGATTTGATTGCCAATCAAGTGCAAGGTAAGATGCAAGCAGCTAAATATTTAATCATTAAATGTTTATTAAATAGAAATGTTAAAACACTGGCAAGTACATCCAGTGATGCAAACTACTTGACTTCTTTACTCAAATGTCGTGTTATAAATTGAAAATATATTATTTAAGTGATTGTGTAACTTTTAAATTAATGTTATTTGTAATTATTGCCAAAATATCTATATCAGGGAAATTATTTGAAAGTGAGGCCTGTAAGACCCACAGCATGGCATATGCTATTTTAAGTATGTGTTCTTCGCATGTTCAGGAACCTGAGGATGCTGTGCCCTTTGCGTTCCAGCACCTTCCGATTTACAAATTAAGTACTGGCAATATGCATCAGTGTGTGTGGCCGTGCTATATGATTCTGAGACTAGACCAGTCTCTTATTTAGGAAAAAAAAGCTTACCTCTTCCACTTTGTCATCCTGGACCTGATTATCAAGTCCAAGTTCTATCAGGTACAGCACCATACACAACACATGTTCAGACATGTTCTGATGATCCATCCAGATCTAAACAAACAAACATAAAAAAAACGTTAACAGAGGTGAAAAGACAATGGGGAAACCATTTATTTACTTCTACTAGATGACCAGACATCTGCATTTAAAATGAAAAAAATTACCCCTCCACACACACACACGTTTTATTCCATGATAAGTTTCACCTTGTACAGCAGTGTGAAGATGACGATATGTAGTGTTTTGCAGTGCAGAAGGCGCACCAGTCCTTTATAGCAGGGGTGCAGAGGGGTCCTCTCCTTATAGGGCGGCCAGGGGTTCCCCGTATGAATGCCTGACTGTTTCAAACTGCAAAAGGCAAAAGTACTTATTAGACAATCATTAAACAATGCAAATGGCTTTAGCATAGTTTCCATACTAATATTAAAAAATCTAATTATAAATATAAAACAAATCATTTTGGGGTATTTTTAAGTGTAATCCTGAAACGCAACATTAAACAGCATTTGAAATGTATGCTAAAATAATATTTCACACCAAAATAACAATTCTAGCATCATTTATTCACTCTATGATTTTTTTTCATAGAATACAAAAGGAGATATTTATCAGATTGTCCTAGCTGCTCTTTTCAATGTGATGTAAATGATCTCCAAAATGCCAGCACCATCAAGGAATTATAAACCTTTTCCACAACTTGTCTTCTGAAGAATAGCTTGTGTGAGGAAAAGACCCAAATTTAAGGCCTTACTCACTGAACTCTTCAGTAGATGTCAAATTTTTTGAGACATCAACAGTAACATCAACATTTTACATTGATGTTAACCTTTACTTAAAAACTACTGTGGAGGTAAACATCAAGCAAATTTGCTTTTGTCAACTTAGAATTCAACAAAGCCGAGTCTGCATTCACTTCCCATTATACGGAAAAGGTTGACCAGTACATTCCCAATATGTTTGGGCTTTTGATCCATATTGTGTTTAAGGATGTAAAGTACAGTGTATGACACACTTTGTAAGTGTATGATTCCAGTGATTCACAAAATTAGAGACTAAGAATTGTTATATTAGTCAAAATACAGACATGTATAAACCACGTTACAATGCACAGCTGATATTATGGAGGTAAAGCCACAGAAGACATGAATGCAGCTGATAAAATTCAAACATACACAACAACTGCAAACAACAAAAGTTGCTCTAGCTTTATCAGACTTGAACACAGCTGCCCTGCTTTAAAGACATCACTGACCCCATTAGCATCGAAAGGAACGAGGGATATAAAATATATAGTCCTCTTGACAGGTAATCCATCATCCAGCGGCCGGACACAAGCACAACCAAAACATTCACAAACTGACATGAACATATACAGCATGTTCCACTGAAAACCACTTACAGCACATGACATCTTTCTTTCTTTCTAACACTTACGGATTTCATGTTGATTTTGCAGCGATTGCAAAACTATCATTTAACCAGGCCGCTGAGTTTACGGAGACCAGAATACGCTTTTAAAGTGAAGATGACAAAGACAAATAACTTCTATTTTAGCAGTCATTACTAAGGTCATGACTGTCATTATGCCAGGGCTTGACATTAACACATGAATGTTAATATAGCCTACAGTAACAGAGCTCGACATTAATGCTTGTGTGGGACAAACAGATTTTTTGAAGGGGCAAGTGAAAGAGCATTTTACTTGCCCGACCGGATTAATTAAAATTTCGGCGAGAATGACTCTGATTTTATTAAATTTGGTTTAAATGATAATTGACGTTTTTATGACAGCCACTATTGAAATGTGTATATTTAAAAAATTGAACTTAAGTAATTGTAACTTAATTATTCTAAAAACTTCATTAAGTGCAATTTAAGCCGTTGTACAGCACAAATCATTCAATTTTAAACTTCAATATTTTAATGTAGTACCAACTGACTCTCATGTATATTTTACAGCATTAGTTGAGATTTTTTTTTCCTTGAGAAAATTTGGCATGTACTGTACCTGATATGTATCCAAAATAATCGACACTGAATCGAATCGGTAATCGAATCGAAAGCTTGTGAATGAGAATCGAATCGAATTGTGAAACCCAGCCCTAATAATTGATAATGGATAATCAACAGTAACAAGGTCGCACCAGTTGAGGCTCATGCAGTCTGTCTGTGTGTGAAACCATCTTGCGGAGAAATCAAAACAAATGAACGCAACTGCACACAGAAGAAACATTCTGCGGTAAAAATGTAACTTCGTTTTTATATTTGTAACAAATAGCCTAGTTAAGCAACATTATATGACCAAGAGACTGAAGTTTTCCCTGAAAACCACGATGGCAAATTTGACATTGATTTTATACAAGAGTTCAAACGAGTAGTTAATATACATTTTAGTACAATATTGCCAATGTTGACTGTTTTTGCTCAATTTGGTTAACGAAAATAGTTCAAAACAAAGATCGCAGCAAAACAGTCGCGCATCTCTGAGCAACACAGCAGTGTTTTGTTACTGAATGATTCAACGTTTTTGAATTAATCATTTGAGTCATTGATTCAGTGGTCCATTCATAAAGCCATTTGTTTAATTCTTGAATGAATCAGCCGGAATCTTTTGAATTAATGCCTCAATGACTCACTCATTAAGACTTCATTAAGACTTGCTGCCACCTACTGGCAGTTTACTTTCATATTTAAGAGTAGCTTATCTTTGCATTTTTTCCAACATTCCATATTTGTATATTTTAAAAAAATATATTATAACAACACCAACAACAACAACAACATATATATATATACACACACACACAGCGGGTAAAATAAGTATTGACCACCATTATTCTCAGTAAATATATTTCTAAAGGTGCTGTTGACATTAAATTTTCACTAGATGTCAGTAACAACCCAAGTAATCCATACATACAAAGAAAACAATGCAAATAAGTTCAGAAATTAAGTTCTGTGTAATAAAATTGAAAGACACAGGCAAAAAGTATGAATTTCAATTTCAGTTTTATGTTGATTTAAATAAAAATAAAAAATACAAGCTTGTAGCAAAATGGCCAAATATGTAAAATATAACAAATAAAATAAACATAACTAAATATCAAGTGAAATAAGTAAAATAAATAAATATCAGGAAGAGGAATATTCAATAGAATAAAATAAACTCATGTTTTGGAATCACTTTTTTTTTTACTGCCATACATATGGAAAATCCTCATGTGGCGGAGATGAACAGGAAATGAGGTCATGTGTGTAAAGGCTGTGGTTGGAGAGGGAATCTGTATTTGAGGTGCGATGCACTGATTCTCCGTGACATGACTCTATGTGGGAAAACCCATTTCAGGTGTAAGTCCCTCCACGAACACCTTCCTCAGAGCAAGAAAAGTAGTGACCCTGAAGATAATTCCCTCTATCACAGAGCGACCCTCAAACTCGAGGTCAACAGCACACAAAATCCAGCAATTTATGGCTCCATAGGCTAGTTTTTCTCTCAGTTTGGTTTCAGGATGATCACAGGCAAAAAGTATGAATTTCAATTTCAGTTTTATGTTGATTTAAATAAAAATAAAAAATACAAGCTTGTAGCAAAATGGCCAAATATGTAAAATATAACAAATAAAATAAACATAACTAAATATCAAGTGAAATAAGTAAAATAAATAAATATCAGGAAGAGGAATATTCAATAGAATAAAATAAACTCATGTTTTGGAATCACTTTTTTTTTTACTGCCATACATATGGAAAATCCTCATGTGGCGGAGATGAACAGGAAATGAGGTCATGTGTGTAAAGGCTGTGGTTGGAGAGGGAATCTGTATTTGAGGTGCGATGCACTGATTCTCCGTGACATGACTCTATGTGGGAAAACCCATTTCAGGTGTAAGTCCCTCCACGAACACCTTCCTCAGAGCAAGAAAAGTAGTGACCCTGAAGATAATTCCCTCTATCACAGAGCGACCCTCAAACTCAAGGTCAACAGCACACAAAATCCAGCAATTTACGGCTCCATAGGCTAGTTTTTCCTCTCAGTTTGGTTTCAGGATGATCAATGAGCACATCTCAGAGAGGCTCCACCTCAGACTGAATGTTTTACAGCAGTTGTTTACCAGCATTACTATATTCCATATAGTCCATGCCATACATATGGAAAATCCTCATGTGGCGGAGATGAACAGGAAATGAGGTCATGTGTGTAAAGGCTGTGGTTGGAGAGGGAATCTGTATTTGAGGTGCGATGCACTGATTCTCCGTGACATGACTCTATGTGGGAAAACCCATTTCAGGTGTAAGTCCCTCCACGAACACCTTCCTCAGAGCAAGAAAAGTAGTGACCCTGAAGATAATTCCCTCTATCACAGAGCGACCCTCAAACTCAAGGTCAACAGCACACAAAATCCAGCAATTTACGGCTCCATAGGCTAGTTTTTCCTCTCAGTTTGGTTTCAGGATGATCAATGAGCACATCTCAGAGAGGCTCCACCTCAGACTGAATGTTTTACAGCAGTTGTTTACCAGCATTACTATATTCCATATAGTCCATATATGTCTTATCTAGTCACAGGAAAATCGCTGCCCTAAAATGTACAAAAATTCAAAACATTCACAGAATATACGTGTTGAATAAACTGTGCCGGATTTGCGTGCATTTATAAACTATACCTTAAGGAATCTCGATTTGCACAAAATGAAGTGAAACAGACGGTGCATTAAATAATAAATAATGTTTAAATAATAAAGTGAACGTTAAAATGAGGAGGTCTGGAGGATTTCAGAGACTCACAATGCTGCGTATCGATCCATGGCCGACTGCACGTCTCTGCGGTACACGGTGCGTAGAATCACCATTATAGGGTCAAACTCTTTCTCCCAGACTTCCGCTGGAAAACACACACACACACACACACACACAGAACAAACACAGAGTTAGTTATGAAAAAATAAAGAAACGTTTGGAAACAGCCTCAGTCTGCCACCATGTGGCGAGAGCCGAGCAATAAGCTTTCAGAGACTCACAATGCTGCGTATCGATCCATGGCCGACTGCACGTCTCTGCGGTACACGGTGCGTAGAATCACCATTATAGGGTCAAACTCTTTCTCCCAGACTTCCGCTGGAAAACACACACACACACACACACAGAACAAACACAGTGTTAGTTATGAAAAAATTAAGAAACGTTTGGAAACAGCCTCAGTCTGCCACCAAGTGGCGAGAGCCGAGCAATAAGCTTAATGACCACAATACAGTCAATAAGCAATAAGCATACAAAAAAAATATTTTAGAAAATGAGTAGAACACCAGTATAAACTCATCGTTTAAACACTGTATAACTCTTGATTACATTTTTTGAATGAATGGATCAACCATGAAATATTCTGATATTTAGTTGGCGTGTTACCTAAACTCGTGTCATTGGTCACAGTGACCAGACTATGAAATACATGTCAATAAATACAATGTTTGTCTAATCAGCATAAAAGAACGATTTCTGATCGATCATGCCACATTGAAGACTGGAGTAAATGCAGCTAAAACAAATAATCTTTGATACTGCATGAATGAATTACATTTTAAAATACACTTTTTAAAAAAACTATATAATATAATAAAACGTCAATTAATACGTTTTAATAATAATATTTCACAATATTCGTTTTTTTTACTGAATTTTGATCAAATAAATGCAGCCTTGGTGAGCTTAAAAGACTTCTTTAGAATTATTATTATTATTTTTTTAATCTTAATAAAAATCAATTAGAGCTGAATTTTAAATGTACAGAAATCTGTTCGGTCACGTTCTGCAACAGGCAACACAAACAAAGACACAACTATTGCTAGAGAGCAGATGCTTCTGTCCTAAAGCAGAGAAATGCATCGAACAGCGCAATCATAGAGTCACATTGCCATCTGCAGGTAATGAGAGGTACACACAACATCTCAAACAAAGCAGTGAATATACAGAAAAACAGCCCATCATAGTCTACATGGCGAAACAATAAGGTGTGTCACCTTTAGGCGTGTACATGCCCTGCTGCATGGATCCTCCAGGCTCAAACACCGGGGCTTTGAAATCAGCTACAGCAGACAGCATCTCCTCAAAACTACAGCTGCCTGGCACCACGCCGCTCTTAGGGTTGGGATTCTCCGGGATCTACAGCTACAGTCAAGGACAAGCATCAAACTCCAACTAATGCCATCAAAATACTTGATTTAAGTCCACAAAGAGGTTAAATTCAAGTTAATTTGTATAGCGCTTTTCACGATACCAATCGTTGCAAAGCATCTTTACAGAAAATTTGAAGTTTCTGCATTGTATTTAGGATTAGGTTATTAGTGGTGACTATGGCAGAAATGTACAGTAAAAATCATGCCGTTAGTTACAAATTACACAATCAAATAAAGCAATAAGCCCAAGAAGCCGTGGTTTACAGTGAATTTATAACAGCTAAGGGGCGTTGTTAGGTACGACGCGAAGCAGAGTTAGCTGTTATAAATTCACTGTAAACCACGGCTTCACGGGGCTTATTGCTTTTATAAAACGGTTATTCCATATACGTAGTAAGGTTTCACAGAATAAAACAGAGCAAATAAAGTGTAATGATATTAATAAAAACAGTATTCTTCCACCAAACAATGTAGTTCCTCAGAAACAGTTGTGGTTGCAACAAAGTGGTTGCCGAGCAACACACAGAAGTAAACGAAGGTGTATGTTTGTAGAGCAATTTACAACAGCTTCGAACGTGGCTCAACCAATCAGAATCAAGGACCGGAACTATCCGTTTTATAACGGACGGCTAACCCTATTAACCGCAATGATTATATGTTGCGATTAAGCAATATTTGGTAGTTTTATATGCTGTTCCAGGGTTAGCATCATCTGAGGTCTTCTGGGGGTTGGTATAATCTCTTCTCAGGTGTTCGGTCATCTCAGATCTTTGTAAGGGTTGGATCAGTAGTCAGTCAGTAATGTGACTGATATTAAACAATTTAACATTAGCTATACAGGAAGGCCTGTGTGGCTGTGAAAATATGTGTCATAATTTAAGTCTTTCTCTGGCCATTTAGAAACCACTTTTTGTATTTATGAAACACCACTTTCACATGTGAAATCAGCAACAGCACATCTTTCAGATGTTTGTACTTACATGCTTTATGCTTCACATAGCTGCATTATATTATGATTTGTGTGCTCGATTTTGATCAAGTGTCTCTTTTTGGACTGGGGTTCTTTCTGGATTTTTCACAATTTAATTTAACTGAGAGTGAGGGGGGAAAAAAGATAATTTGAATCTCATGATACAAACCCAAGTACAATTTGCCAAGATGTACCAACGCTTGCAAAAACACAATCAAAGCAGAGTACTTATTGAACTTCCTGTGAGTGCATCGTGTTTTCATGGTGAAAGGATACAAGATCTAGCAGGGAGCTGTGGGTACGATCATTCATACACAACTGCGACACCATCTCCGCTCTCAAAATCTCATCATCAGACATTCCTGCAAAGACACACAAAGAGAGAAAGACATGAGTCTCTGAGTTTACACATGAGACAAGCTTGTGCTGTCACACTGTATGACGAGAAAGTCAGCTAGCTTTCGAAAGGGTTTCGATTCACACAGAACGTGTATAGAACACGCTTTCAAAATGCAGGTGTGAGTCCCATTACTTTTAATAGCTCTCATGTATAACCGACTAGAAGTGAATGTAATCGTATTCAGTCATATTCTAAAGCTGTAAGAAGCCTTAGATTCACTGATCAGAAGTAGCATATTTTATTAATAAATCTTCTGGTTGATATCATTACTGAGCTGCATTTGGTCAGCATTATTGCGATGGAGAAGATATGCACCTAAGTGTACTCTGAGACTGCACAGGATGACCAGGAAGGTCAGCGCCCCCTCCAGCATGGGTCTCTCCTGCTCCGAGTCCAGCACTGCGTTCTGATGCTGAGACGCCATCGTCAGCAAATCCACCACCTTGAACCTGACGCAAACACAAAGCTTTTAGGAGCCATCGCTGAGTGTGAGCACACAAACCAAGACAGAGACGTTGTCGCACCTCTCAAACACTGAGGAGATGAAGTAATCTGGATCCAGTCTAGACGCACACACCTGAAGACCAAAAATAAGACTGAAATAAGTCAATCAAATTTCTATTGAAAACGGCAGCCTAATGACTAAGCTTAAAGGGATAGTTCACCCAAAAATGAAAATCAAACCTGTAAGACCTCCGTTCATCTTCGGAACACAAATTAAGATGTTTTTGATGAAATCCAAGAGCACTCTGACCCTCTAGAGACAGCAAGTGAACAGAAATGTTCCCGGGGGAAATATGAGAAACACAATCATGTTGTCTGTAAATATCTCTGTTTTGATGCTGTAAGTTGACACAATGACCTTTGCATTTTTTCTATAAAACCAAACAAAACAAAATCAAAAAAGGCAAAATGGCTTTGACATATGAACAAAGTGGTGTAAATACTAAATAATTAGGGCTGCCAATTGATTACAAATAATTGCATGACGTGCCAAATAATCAAAATAAAATCAGATGTGGCAAATAATTTTGGACCCTGGATGAACATCTATTTCAGTACAGAAGTGTCAGGTGAGCGAGCGAGAGCGAGAGTGTCAGCAGGTTACCTGCAGGAGGTAGATGTCCGGGTCAATCATGGAGTTACAGAAGTGAGACTGCACATAAGTCATGGCCTGGCCTTTAATCTGCAGCCCATTTCTCACCCACATGTTACTATGGATCTCAGACAGGCTAGCCTGCACAAAATCACACACACACACACAGATCAACACATGGGTCCCGTCTGCTTATCACACACTGTGGCATTAGCTCCACAACACTGTCACATGCCAGAAGTGAAACACGAGACATCAGTGAAGATTTACTACAAACGGCTGCAACATTACACAACACAATGCCCTCTGCTTCAGCAGCATTAATACACTGACCGGCAAACCGGCAAAATAAAGCCTTGTCCCAATCAGAAGCACACTATTACATCATAAATAGCATCAGAGGTCAGAACTCGTGTACAACTCTGGGGAGTCCTAATTCATAGGATTGTCTTTCATCCATTAAACATATCTTTTTGTGTTTTACGTGTTCTGCAGGTTATTGTACAGGTTATTTCTATACAACACAAGTGCATCTGCTTTACACAGTCATGTTCCAAAAAGAACGAAACATGTGACCCTGGAGCACAAAAGCAGTCATAAGTCGCTGGGGTATGTTTGTAGCAATAGCCAAAAATACATTGTATGGGTCAAAATTATAGACTTTTCTTTTATGCCAAAAATCATTAGGATATTAAGTAAAGATCATGTTCCATGAAGATATTTTGTAAATGAATTTATACCTGTTGCACCATCTCGGCGTAGTGCTACGTCTGACACTAAATCTTTCGCCTAGTCAGAGGTAGGTGTAAAGTGAAAAGTCATGATTTGTTCAGACATTATTCGTTTTTAGGATTCATGTCTGTTAGTTAATTTTTACTGCAGACGTGAACTGTAATGTTTATGGTCTTTTCGGGCAGGATAAGCGATATCAATCACGAAGCTCGGTGTAGACTATAGCCTACCACCCTGCCGACAGTAATTGAATACAAAATATATTTCTGTACAGCATCTTATAATTATGCAGTAAAATATTACATAGGAACTGGAATTATTAATAGAAACATAACCATTTGACATCTTGCTTGAAAGGACAGTGTAAATGCTTGGAAATATTTTACCGTCTTTATCCATTCAGTATTTGTAGCGTGCCTGCCATCCAATAATCGCAATAAGTTTTGTGCTTTGTTACTTTTAATCAAAAATAAATTATCAGCTTTCAAATTCTGTCAATTTTATCACAAAACACAAACTATAAACATGCCGTACCCACTGGATGTCTTGAGCAATTCAGTTCTATAGGCCTATTAGTAGTTAGTTATAGCCATTGCGGCGTGAACGTCGTCTCAGCTATATCTATAACTGTGGGAGAATGTGTCGGCGTGGACACGCATTGTCTACGCCGGGCGTAGTTGTGCCTGATCGTAGTTTCAGTTGCTGTAACAGGTGTAAATATTTATCGTAAAGCTGGACGTTGTAAAGCCCAGCGTAGGGCTTACACCCAGCTTTTTTATGTCTAGCTGGTGCAACCGGCCCCAGATTTTCAAATAGTTGTATCTCAGCAACTATTGTTCTATCCTAACAAACCATGCATCAATGGAAAGCTTATTTATTCAGCCGAGGCATAGATCTCAATTTCAAGAAATTGACCCTTATGACTGATTTTCTGGTCCAGGGTCATATAACACCGTAACATTATCATAAAATAATTTCATACAACCTGTTTGTGTTCAATTCAAAGCTCAATTCATAATTTAATTCATAAATTCACTGCTCTGTCACAAGAAACAATTGTGCTTAGTGCCGGGGGCACCACAAGTGAACCGTCCAATGGCATTTTTTAAACTGGAATAGATTTTAAAAAAGCATTTGACAAAATGAAAAATTACGGTTTCCTGTTTAATTTAACAACTTTTTAAAACAAATTAAATAGTTTTAAATATCTATTTATTTTTAAATGTATAAACTACGTAATATTTTATTCAACTACAGTTTTTAATTGTCTATTACACTGAACAAAATTATAAACGCAACACTTTTGTTTTTGCCCCCATTTTTCATGAGCTGAACGCAATAGACTTTTTCTATGTACACAAAAGGCCTATTTCTCTCAAATATTGTTCACAAATCTGTCTAAATCTGTGTTAGTGAGCACTTCTCCTTTGCCGAGATAATCCATCCACCTCACAGGTGTGGCATATCAAGTTGCTGATTAGACAGCATGATTATTGCACAGGTGTGCCTTAGACTGGCCACAATAAAAGGCACAGATTTAGACAGATTTGTGAACAATATTTGAGAGAGCTCATGAAAAATGGGGGCAAAAACAAAAGTGTTGCGTTTATAATTTTGTTCAGTGTAATTTGTCTACTTCAAAGTGAATTAGTTATTTCCGTTTTTTATGTGTGAATTATTAACTTGATAACTTGTTCATTCGTTTCATTTTAGTTGTCACTCTTAGTCCTCCATAGTGGGGAAGACTTTCAGTGATTTTGATCTGTCCCACACACAAATATCTGCTCCTTTTATGAGATATGTTCCTGTGGCTCAGTGGTAGAGCATTGCGTTAGCAGCGCAAAAGGTCTTGGGTTCGATCCCCAGGGAACACACATACTGGTAAAAAATGTATAGCCTGAATGCACTGTAAGTCGCTTTGGATAAAAGCGTCTGCTAAATGCATAAATTATTAATTATTATTATATTAATTAAATTAAATTATTATCAAATTATATGTGTAGTCTGGACAGCACTGGTACCTGACAACCAGAAGAATTTGTCTGGCCTTCGACACTGATTCATTCTTCTCGTATTAATCTCTTTATTCACCTTCATTGTGTATTACCTGTATCTGAAGAGGGTGAACCATGATCTTCATAAGCATCTCCTGATCAGGAAGCAAACTGTCTAAATCCAGACCTTGACACCTCACTCCCTGCAAAACAACGAAAAACAGATCAGTTTATAATCATGCTCAAAAAAAAAAAAAAAAAAGGCTTC